GAATAAGCATTAGTGTGCATAGGATTTCAGAAGGATTTTTAATTTTTAGTTCTCTAAAAACTTACAAGAAAAATGTCGGAGTGCTTATTATAAAAAGTCTAATCTATTAGTGTGGGAAAATACAGTTCGTGCCCTGGAAAGGTGGAATAATCCATCAGCAGTCTGTGGCTTTTACTACCTTACTTGAGGCTGGTAGGTGAGAATTTGTTGAATGTTATAGACAAAAATTTCAATCTAGAAGAGATGTCTTAATATCTTGTCTGTCTTAATAGTCATTAACTTGCCCTGGATTCTTGCTTTAAGTCCAGTAAGTGATTATTTTCACAACAAGCTGAAAGTACAGTTTTCAGCACAAGTTCTGGAGTCATGTGTCTTGGTTTCAAGCCATGATGATTATTAAACGATCCTGGTTAGAGTTGTTTTCTCTTAGGCCGTTCTAGAGAACAGTTAATTAAAACCTTTAGCCTTTTCTCTGCCTGTTTTCTTCTCCTGGTGACTTGTATTTTGAAAGCTTTCATGGTGACCTTGGACCGAGTTTGCTGTTTATTGGCAGGGAGCGCAGAGAGCGCTGAGTTGGAGTTGTGGAGCAGTGAGTGCTTCCTACAAGTTGCTGTAACTTCACATCAAGAGCTTGCTTCACTGAAACTCATCAGTATGATTGTGGGGTTTGCGGGGGGTGGGGTGGGTGTTCTCTGTGGTGGACTAGAAAAAGCATTTAACTTGCTGTAATTTGCAGATAATTTATATAAAAGTGTAAGTTTAGAAGTAATGTGTATTGATTTGTACCTGCAGAAAAGTTTATTCTTTTGGTCTGTCCCCTTTGCACTCTACTGACTGATTTCCTTCCCTGATTCACAGGGAACATGGGATTACTAAATAACTTTAGACTGACCCTGTGACTGACTCCTTGCTTTCTAAGTCCGAAGCAACTGTTGGTTCAGCTTTGGCACTATGCAAAGGCTGTTTATTGCTAGTATGTTGTTAGATGGGAATGGTTATTTGGCAGTTAATGGCAATTAACCCTCATTCCAGATCCTGGGCTTTGGCAGTCAGGCACCTGAATTTGATTTTTTGAGCCTAGGATTACAGCAAATACACATCAAAAAGTTCCTAGTTAATCTTTTGTGTTCCCTCCTTAGTACTTCCTCCTCGGTAGATACAGAGATAATAGTTTGGACAAGCCAGCAGCATTTCTGCAGAATGGCACCTCTGCATTAGACGAGGCTGTAGTAGAAGTGAAGCCGATAACTTACCCAAAAAACTCACTCCCAAATGCCAGTGTTGTGCCGCCTTGCCACGTGGTAGTAGGTAGTTGGAAGGTATATATTTAAAAAAAAAAAGTGGGTGAAAAAAAAAAGTGGCTAGATCTTAATGCTGAATAAAACATGTAAAGGTGGGTATTGTGTGTCCCCATGTGTATAAGTTAGTATTGGTGCCTGGAATACTTTTAAGAAATAAGGTGTCCATTGAAAGGTATATTTTGGATATGCCTGTGTAGTCATAGCATTAAAAAAAAAGAATTGTACTGATGTAATTTGAGTCTTCTGCCGTTCTCTGGGAGAAAAAAAACCCAAACTCTTATACTTTTACTGATCAGTTTAAGCCAATGTACTTTCTATGCAGGGCACTGTCTAAGCACCTCCCTTCCCATCCCTCCATTGTCTTCCTCCACTGCAGCTATCCTGCCAACTTGAGCCCTAAAACTCTGGTTTGTTCTCAACTTGATCAGCCCTCTGATCTAACTCACTGTGTAGCTTTTGTAATGGCACAAGGGAGCAGGGAGGGGGGCAGATGGCATAAATTGGTATCGCCACAGAAGGAAACAAAGCAGAACCATATCAGCTAAATTTGGTGTTTCAGAATGATTTTAGGGATTTTGTACAGTGTCCACTTGTGGGCATCTCTTAAAGGGAATGATGGATAAAGCTTCGAGAACCTTGACAAGAGTAATGATTCAGAAAAGTAGGGCTGGTGAAGGAGATGGAAATAACGGGGGGGTTTTGTCGGTGGTTTTTTTCCCTTCCAGTTGGACTCCCAATATTCTCTCTAGAGAGAAGTGACAAGAACTTCAGTCCTCAGAAAGCTTAATAAAGAAGGTAGTGATAGTTATTCTGATTGAAGAACAAAAAGAAGTGTTTGTTTTGCAGCAAAGATGACTTAAGCTTACTGTTAAGAAAATACTTTCTAACCGATCAAATGGGAGCCACTGGACAGGGTAATGGAGGAGGCCAGCTTTTTTTAAGGTTTGACTGATACCTGGTGGAAATAGCATAGTTCTACTTGCTTGTGTGCCTTGATGCAGCGCAATTAAATCTCTTGAACCCTTTTTATAAGTCAGTTTGTGTTTTGTCTTGACCTTCTGCAGATCAAAATAATTTCAGATTTCGTGGCTTTGTAATCCCACTAACCATAAAACTGGTTAATACAATACTCACATATTGTAACTAATGCTGTAAGGCACATAAAGAAAATTTAAAAGAAGTGCTGAGTAATATCTTTAATAGATTCTTCTGTCTTCGGTGTCAGACTTTGATACAAGGTGATGTCATGGGCAGAGCTTAAAAAAAGGTCAGTTTAGTTGTATCTGAGTAAGCCCACTTGTTAAACTATTTTAGCGTGGAACTAATTAAACTCTCAAAGCAGTAACTTATAAGTTATTTTTTAATCACACTTAACATTAGGCATGTGGATTTGTGTAATCATGGGTAACATACTGTCCTGGTTCCGGCTGGGATAGAGTTACTTTTTGTCCTATTAGCTAGTATAATGCTGTGTTTTGGATTTAGCATGAGAATAATGTGATAACACCGATGTTTTAGTTGTTGCTAAGTAGTGTTTATGCTAAGTCAAGGACTTTTTTCAGCTTCCCATACTCTGCCAGTGAGGAGATACACAAGAAGCTGGGAGGGAGTATAGCCAGGACAGCTGACCCAAACTGGCCAAAGGGATATTCCATACCATATGACGTCATGCTCGGTATATAAGCTGGGGGGAGTTGGCCGGGAGGCAGTGATCGCTGCTCAGGGGGGACTGGCTGGGTGTCAGTTGGCGGGTGGTGAGCAGTTGCATCACTTTTTTAAAATGGGTTTTGTTCCCCTCTCTCTCTTGTTGTTTTCCTTTTCATTACAGTTTTTATTATTAATTATTTTATTTCAATTATTAAACTGTTCTTAACCCATGAGTTTTCTTACTTTTGCTCTTCCAGTTCTCTCCCCCATCACACCAGGAGGGGAGGGTGAGTGAGCAGCTGTGTGGTGTTTGGTTGCTGACTGGGGTTAAACCACAACACATACTTATTTAGATGAGACCTGATGAGAGATTTCTCTGCCACCAAATCTCTATCAAGAAGTTCATCCCTATTTTGTAAGGAAGTATCTGAGCTTTGATTTATAGGAAGAAGATTGACTGGATCAGGTTATGGCAGAGCGAGAGAGTCTGAGCAGCATCAAGTCTGAGCCTTGTTTCAGCCCAGTTTCATCTCAGTTATGGGCTGATGCTGTATTGATGGCAGGCAGCGTAGATCTAAAAGAAAAGGTAGGTGAATGTAGAGGACGTCCCAAACTGGGACTGTGTTGGGAAGTGCAGGTAACAGGCACTGGAGTATTTGCTACTCTGCTCTCCTTCAGGCCCGTTCAAAGCAGTGGTTTCTACCGAAGGGTGTTGTGAGCATCAGCCCTGTGGTAGCTGGAAAGGAAGGCACAGGAGAGCTGTCTTCTGCATGCCGAGAAACAGGTCTTTCTGTAGTACTCGCATCTGCCAGCTGTCTCGCTGCTCCCTCAAGCACACAGTTCAGGTTCATGGCTGTACTCAGGAGGAGCTTGGGGGGAGCAGATCTGGATTGGACTGGCAGGAGTTTCCTTTGCCTGACTTCTGCCCAGGAAGCTCTAGGGTAAATGATAGGCTAAAGAGTCGTTTGCCAAGATATGAGTGACTATAGTAACTTCTTATTTTCAGTTCTCCATTGGATGTCTTAGGAATCTTACCCTTACAAGAGAAAATCTTACTTGCTACTTGGGGAAGGACAAGGGGTGGTTTTAATCTGTAACTGGAACATATGTACTCTGTAGTTTATCAGCTTCCTGAAATACGAAGCCTTCTTGACTAA